AACTTAGTATACAATAATGCTAATTTTCCAGTGAAATATTATTATACAATTACTATTTCGCAAATTACTCAATGTAATTGCCCGACTAATTTATGTTCATCCAATGTACTGGTTTCAAATGGCTACCCAGCTTTCACTTGCTCCTATTTGGCCGTAAGTACTTAATTAACGAGCGACGATGAGTCATAAGACATTTCAATCTTCTCATGCTTTTATAAGCAATATTATTTAATTTAAGTTTCAATATTTCAAGTCATCGTTATGAAAATATTATAAAATAGACTTCTTCAGGTAATTTCAATTTTAAACCAAAAAAGGACTCAATGACAAAGCTTCTTAGACTAGATCAGCGATTCTCAACCGGTGGTACGCAAAGAAACAAAGTATTTTTAACAATTCAAAAATCGCCTGAAGAAACACAACAATTGATAAAAATTTCCTGTCATCGAACTCAAACTGAAGGTTTCAAAAATTACACGCTTGTTAACTTTTGGCTGAACCGAAAAAAGAATTAAAAGGCATTTCAAATAAAGCTATCAAATTTCTATTGCCTTTTCGCACAATTTATTTGTGCTAACAAGGATTTTCTTTCATGTTATATTTGAAAAATAAATACAGAACAAAATTAAAATTGAATCCTAATTTACGGTTAAAGCTAAGTGAAATTAAGACCAGACATAGAGAAATTTATCTCTCTTCTTAAACAGGCCCAAATTTGACACTAAATTTTAAAATTCAAGTATTATAACTTAAATTTTGATAATTAAAACGGTAATCAATTTTTAATCTAATATTTTTAATATGTGCATATTTAATTCAAATAGCCAATAGGTTGTGCAAATGGCAATATATATATTTAATATTTCTATTGAGAAAGTGAAAAATAATTATTGTAAAACGTAGTGGTGGCATTAAATAAGTTGTTCAATTTTTGGTTAGATGGTACGCATTAGTCAAAAGGTTGAGAACCGCTGGACTAGATCATTAGGGAATTTGCGCCAAACGTGGGAGAAGGCAGCTTTAATAGGAACGCTGATCAATTGTCAGCCAAAAACACTGATCGCAATGCTATATTTTTCGTCTGCAAATCCACGTATCCTATAGGATTTTTAAATTTTCAAATAGTATAAGAAATTACAAGTAAAAAACATTATTTACTCCCAAATACTTCTGCATACAAAAAATGAAACATTTCAGAAAAGACTACAATAAACTTCTATATAATTAACTACTCTGGTATCCCGAAGTTAAGCAACCAGTGGAAAAATTAGCATATCTGGCGAAAAAAACATGTAGCTCCAAAATTCGCATGTATAAGAGGTGTAACAGATTAGGTATGAAACAGCTGGCTTAGCCTTCATCTCTGCATTATGGACCTTGAAGGGAAAATCGAAACAGCCGAATTTAAAAAAAATTAGTACACGACACCATCTGAGTTATGCCACGTGACATGAAGCAATAACGCACCTCGAAAAGACACAGAGGCAGGTGACAGGTGACTGCAGGGCCCGGACGGCTTAATATGACAAACCGGGTGTCGTCCGGTACCCGCACCTATTTAGAACAACACAACCATGGCGACTTCCTGAGAGGGCTGCATCGGGGAATATATTAATGGAGAATATGTGGTATTGACGTCGCCAAACAAGGGCGTGTGCATATATATGCTTCAGTATAACAATTAATAAAAAGTTTCATACACAAGTACATTGGTGGTATAGGTACATTGGATACAGACACAGAGGCAGTCGAAAATAGCTCCAGCTCCTAATGTCAATCGTTTTGTCATTTATCACCCGTGAAACAGGTTTAAACCGCAGAGCTGGCTTCCGCCCAGGATATATCTCGGTATATCCAAACAGAATTGAGTGCCAACCCAGCCGGGAGATGCCAAAGAGGACCATCCCACGGTAACACAACTCCGTGGAAACGGCAAATTTAATGTTCTATTTCTAAAAAAAAAAGGGGGGGGTTCACAACATGGGCACGATTACGGGCCCTTGAAGAGTTGCTAACATTCTATTGTCATACTGCATAAACTCAATAGGGGATTACAACCTGTTGAACAGGTATTAAAATGAAGTAACATAATCATCAAGACAAGTACGCGGACGTCCAAGGTTCACAAATAGTTAAGATGATAGTTTTCTGTGTCTGTAAGCACGACAATTATTACGTATCATCTTAACTGGTTTCAAGATTACTTCAGTTGGATTTCACTGTAATGGGTTATTGTATTCTTTACAAAGAGCCATAATTTGATCTGCATATTGATTTTTGACGACTACTGATATGAAGAATAAATGGAATTAGCTTTCATGCTAATAATATCCGCAAAACGCCATATACAAAGGCCATGGATTGATGGTTTGGGTAAAGATTTTTCTCGGCGAATCGAAGAATAGAGATCATATACTTGACCAAACATTTCACCCATTGTTTTGCGATCACAGGTCATAATAACATTTTAATATGTCCTCTATGTGATCAGGCAGATATTTGAAACCATCGTATATGAACTTACTTTTGGCACGAATCGATGCTCTCGAGCGTGTCTTTTCAACAGTGACTGTTACATTTGGTACTGACAGACATCCATCAAAGCATTTTTTGCCACATAAAATCCTATGCTTTTTAGCAGTAAACCATTTTACGTCATTGTTTTCGCATTTCCTCATGCTAGCATCTTTTGTTATACCCTGAGGTCCGTGAAAGTTTTAATGAATTCGAATAAGTTCTTTTAATTTGCTTTCGCGACTTTGTTACTAAAACACCTAGGCTAGTTTCCTTGATCTAAGGCCAATATCTAAGTATGGTCTAAGGCTAGATGAATAGGCATTTAACGTGTTTACGTATACACTATCTATCAAAAAGTATTTGGACATTTGCGATAGAAAAGAAAAGCAGAATTTATTCATATTTAGTAGTTGGTAGAAGCTCTACGAGCGGCAATTACAGCCTCAATCATCCGAAGCACGCTTTGTCCAAGTCCTTGTATGACGGCTACTGGTATTTTCTTCCACTCGGCTTGGAGAAGACATGCAAGTTCCTTCACCGATGTCGGACGATGTTTTGCACCCCTTAATTCGGCGATCCCACTCGACCCAGAAGTTCTCGATAGGGTTCAAGTCTTGGCCTGCGGGCTCTGGACAGGCCGGTCCATTCGGTTAACAGCACTGTCACCATGGTAATCCATGCTGGACCTCGCAACATGAGAACTGGCGTTATCATCCTGAAAGTAACAGGAGTCCATAAAACTGCCACTACTAGAAAGCACACTGTCTACCAAAATAATGGGCATTGAGCTTATCATGAATCTGCAGCAAAGGTCCCAGTCCATGCCAGCAGAAACACCCCCAGAACAGAATTCCACTTCCGCAGAACTTTACTGTGGGTACAATGCATTGTAACAAGAGTCGTTCTCCAGGCAGACGCCAGATCCAGACCCTGCCATCCGAACGGTAGAGAGTGAACCTTGATTCGTCGCTCCAGAGAACCCATTTCTACTGATCTACGGTCCACTGTCGACATGCTTTGCCCCAAATTAACCAAGCAGCGCGGTTGGACATATGATGGGCATGTGGATGGCTGCACAGCCGTCAAAACTAAGCAGATGTGCTTCCTTAAGAAAGGCATTCATCGAAACAACACTCCCAGATGCCTGCTGATACTTCTGGAGTATGTGGCCAATCAATTGGATGTGGCTCTTCCGAATTTATCTTGACAGTGCATGTCGGTCATTATCTCCCAGTTTCGTGGGTCTGCAGGAAAATTCCGACAATCATCACTTACCTTACATTTCTGAATTACACAGGCTGTTGTCGGCTTTGGGTAATTCAGATCGATAGATATCCTCCTCCTTAAGGATCGGCCATTTTTGTGAAAGCCGAAAATTACAAATTTCTTGAAATTAGATAGCACTGCACTTCGTTACATCTTGCATGTGACTAATGGCAATGCTGTTTACTACTCGATATGTAACGCCGGATGGCGTAGCGTACATCAGGACCGCACATATCGATATTTGCATGGGTGTCCAACTTATCGGTAGATAGTGCATATGTGCACATAAAAATTGAGAACAGTTGCTTCTCGTTGACACACCAATATTTTTAGACATATGTTTTTATTAATTAATAAATTTACGTCTTCTAATATTCATAAACATCAAAGAAATTTTTAATGGTCCCCTTCTGAAAATGTCACCTTTAAACATGGCTCTTCTTATTTGTCTCAGTATTAAAAAAATATTCTCCGGTCTTATGTAATCCACTTTGCCGAAAGCTACCGCAATTAATTTAGATAATGAGGAAGTTTCCATATATAGAATAATCACTGTACATCTATAACTGATCTTCCGAATTTTATAGTCCTAGACTGGATAGTGTAGTCCCGTAAAGGGTCATCAGGGAGCACCTAATAATCATACTTGATTCTTTTTAGGAGACCATTTAAAATAGAAGCTCTACCAGCAGAACGCTCGGGAGATACAGCAGCTGACAGCAAGCATTCAGCAGCCTAAAAACCCACCACATTCTTGAATATACGTCCTGAGTCGTGGGCTAAACTGAGGTTAAGAAGACGTACGTTTAATGTATGCAATACCAATTCATTTTCCAGTCGAGATAACAGAAAATTTTGCACCACCTTACTTATATAATATATATATATATATATATATATATATATATATATAATAAATAACCTTTTTGAAAAAGGCAGTTCTAAAACATTAATTCAATGATTAAATTACTGCTTAATTAATTATTCAACTAACTAAAGCAGTTAAACAGAAACACTAAGTATTCTTTTCTACGCTTGCATATTTTTATTCTTTTGTAACATGGAGAAAAAGCTCTAATTTTATGCAATACATTTAACTTTTAATACAAAATCATATCATCAAAATTAATAATACTTTTAATACAAAATCATATCAGCAGACATAACGGGTAATCAAATAATAACAAAGAAGATTACGAATAAAAATGTATACTTACTGGTTTTTCGTCTATTTTCAATGTATTTGCACTTAAGCACTTCCTCATGAAAGGACAAAGTAAATTTTCATCTACATTTTTATCGCCTCCTGGGGGAAAAAGTGGAGAGGAATAAATTTAAAAGATTTTCTTGCACGGCTAATGGTTTAAATGCCGAACAGTCAGGCATTTATATATAAATGAATATTTCAAAAGACACAAATACATCTAGAAATTTATAAAAACTCAAATGCATTGGACTACATATTTTCTTCACAATCATTTACAAAATACTCTGCTGTTTTATGTTTCTATATTGTATGAGTGAATTTCATTCCTATTAGTTGAGACAGTAATCCAACAGACAGCGTAACAGAATATGATAATTACCTAAATTAGCACTCATAAACTTCAAAATAACTATATAGATCTGTTTGCTTTGTGAAATGAAGAGGTGAAGACAAACACTAAAACTTAATTTTAAACTAACACTAAAACTTAACCCCACAACAAAGAATATCCATTTATTTCGAAATGATGCGTTGGCATTACCGGATATTAAAGAACAGAAATAGGTTTATAAGGTCAGCCAGCTTAGCATGACTATATACAGCAGGTCGATGTGTAGCAGTAGTTCACTTGCAGACTGATAACAATTGTATTTGGCGAATGTGCTGCCTGAAACCGGCATTTTAATTGCGAAATTTGCTCTACAATTTTACCTTCACACATTCATAAACTTGTTTCGTGAGTTCAGACATATTGCATGAGCTTTAGAAGAAACATGCATTCTGCTTGTGGGCAGTTTTTCAAGAAAAATGTTCTCCACTTACGGTTAGCATCCATCCTTCTTTAAATTTTCCCTCTAAATGTTAAACGACTTGTTGTTTTTGGCTGATCAAAAATATACAATCCTCAATTGTTCATTTACTGAAGCATTTGGAACTGGAACAACATTTCAACTGGCACACCATTAAATACGTGTGTCATTTGACTAGAGGCTGACTAATACCGCATATCGCGTAATTGCATGTGGTTCCACAATATTTAATAGAATTATCACATCTAGCAACGCCAAAAGAAACTTTCCCATGAAACCAGTTTCAACCTACACTAGTTGAAACATGAGAGTTCCTAGCCGAAACATTTTCGTTGAACGCTATGCCCGGGTACGTACCCGGGAATTGCGTAGCAGGCGAAAATATATTGTGTATGTTTTTGCCTCGAGTAGGAGCAAGGACAATACCTCTGGGACATGTAAGTCAACAATCAGATTTGCTGGATGTAAACATTTCTGGAAAAGTTTCTTCCGAAGTTCAGCAGAGGGTAGCTAACAGATCTGATAGCGGTGTAACGTCACAAAATTCTTTCTCTTCCGTAACATCCGTTAAGGTCAAAGCTGATTTGGAAATGATTAGTTATTCTGCAACTTTATGTAAAATGTTGATCGCTGTTGCACAGCGGGCAGAAGACCATAAAACTCGGTCTTAGTTCCCAGATAGCTTAATAATTATTTTCCCGAAATTATAGTTATTTTGAATAATAATTTTAATTACAAGTAAAATAGACCCACTTTTAAATGCTATTTTCTGTGAACTCTCTGATTTTTCCTTTAGCAGCCTCCTCTTGCTAATTGTAGCAGGGTTAAGAACTCAATAAAAATAAATGAAAAGTAGCTGCACTGTATTATTCCTATCTACTTTTTATTGATTATATTCGAAATACATTTTGAAATTTTCAAGGCGCGATTCTTGCGCAGGCTTTGTTAATTATCTTATCCGCAACAAAGCGCGCGAATATAATTTAAAATCAATGAATAAAAATATTGTGTATAGTGTATGGTATATATACTAACATTTCCCCGTTATTTCCAGGAAATATAGTTTTATCTTATGAATATATTAAATTTATTAAACAACCGTTAGTTCACTATTTTAACTCAATATCTACCTACCTTCAAGACTTCGGAGAAATGTTCATGATTTGCAAAAATATGTATTATCATTGAACCCATCACACACTGGTTCACGACAAATAATACAGTTTGGAAAATAGTACGCATATAGTTTGTAAATAGTATTTTAGTGAATCTATTATTTGGTTCTTTATATTTATTTTTTATCGTCTTCTCGGTATTTCTATTATTTTACTGGAAGTTTATAGGCAACAAGCTTTCGCAAAAACTATCAGTCTTAATACTAATATACTAAGCTACATGTTTTCTGTCCCTATTCATTATTCTGTTAATAGAATTAAACATTTTAACTGTTACGCCACACATTCCTGTGTGGATAAAAAGCCAATAAAAGAACTTCAGACTTTAACCAATTATATAAAAAATTTAATTATTTACAACTGAAATTTATCTCCGCTAAAGTATTCAAATATACGTTTAGGAATAACTGTTCGCACGATCTGTATTTTGAGAAGCCACTGATGCAACTTAATAAGTAAATGTGTTTTCCCAGTTCTTACTTAAGTTATTACACTTCTCACACAATAATACATAATTTAACTCTATAATTCAGAAACATGAAACAGGTCAAGGGCTCAAAATTTAAATGTTTATGTGACTTTACTGCTTAAACTGAACTACACACACACACAGTCTTAGATTAACTTTGGTTGAAGAGAATTATTATTTTGTGGGGGGGGGGGGGGGGGGGAAAAAAAAAACTCTTTTCCAAAAATCGAAGCACCAAGAAGGACTTTTGCGATCATGACGAAATTTGGTATGCAAAATTATCTTGATCGAACACGCAAATGATCAAAGTTTCAAGGCAAATGAACAGGTTTGGTTTGGATTATTACATTACGTCAAAGCACTCGAGGGCTATCTGCCTTAAGGGAGGGAGGCCTTTTTAAGGGAACTGGCTCGTATACACGTTACACATGGAGAAAACCACGAAAACACCCATGCAGCCAGCCCGTTCGCGGGATTCGAACCTCGGACCAGAGTTCAGCGACGTTAAACCTAGAGTTCAGCGACGTTACCGCTCGGCCGCTGGTGTACCGCAAATGAACAGGAACTGCAATGATAGAGCGCATTTCTAGTGGGTAATTCGCAAAGTATAAAACCAGTAACAGAGGTGAAAGATTTATATTTTTTTATTGCTGCCATTGTAATTCCGTAAAGAAGCAACTAAAGATGCCATTACGACGATATCGAAGACCTTACAGACAAGTAAATGACTTCGAACGTGGTCGCCATTGTAGGGTTGCGTGAAGCTGGGTGGTCATACCGAGCAATAGGCCGCACTTGCAGTGTACAAACACTGCTGTGCAAAGGTGTTGGCAGCAATGGTTGCTACAAGGAAACTGCCGACGAAATGAAGGCTCTTTAAGGCCAAGGGGCACCAATGCGAGGCAAGATAGGATGATTGTTCGCCAGGCCTGAACCGCTACAACGGTATCATAGTCGACTATTCAACGCATACAGCCACGTCTATACCTCCCGTGGTACCGTTCACTATCTCACGGCGCCTGTCCTAAGGCGGGGTTGCGCTCAGAGAGGCCTTTAAGACGCTTGCCTTCGACCCAATAACATCGACGGAGTCGTCTGGAGTGCTATGGTGTCGCAGCCGATCATCATGGCTGCCATCAGACTGGCATCGTATAGCGTTCAGCGATAACTCCCGCTTCACTCTTGAAGCAGATGACCACCGTGTTCGTGTCTGTGGAGGACGGGACCAGCGGTCCCAATCAGCATTTGTTTTACAATAGCATACAGCTATAACCCCTGGTGTGATGGTGTAGGGCGCTATTTCTTATGACAGCAGGTCATCTTTAGTCATCCTCCGTACATCTTTAGCAGCACAACGATATGTTGATACCATCCTGCTGCCGGTTGCATTACCCTTCATGGCACGTCATCCTGGGGCCATTTTCCAACAAGATAATTCCAGGCCACATACCGCTCGTATATCTCTGCACTGTCTTCGTGCGGTTAATACTCTTCCTTGGCCAGCACGGTCACCAGACCTTTCACTAATCGAGCATGTCTGTGGCATGGTGGGCCGCCAGATTCGGGCACCACAAAATATCACAGATCTGGAGCGACAAATGATGAATGCCTGGCAGAATGTGTCGCAGGATGACATTAGGAAAAACAAATGTAGTCTAATCAGGCCTAGAGGAGTATACAGGTAAAATTTTGTGAAGATAGCACTTACCGCTACCACTTCTTGCCTCGACGAATTCAAGCATGCATTGCCGACAGAGGCAGTTCGACCAACTACTAATTTGAACACTAAATGGGTGATTGTGAGCCGTGAACAGGTACTACGACCTTGATTTTTTAATTATTTTATTATCTGTGTATGAGCTATACACATATTCAACTTCATCCAAAGCAATCCCTTCATTCATAGTTCTTCGATTTTTTTGCAAAAGAGTGTAGTTTGTTTAAATTCAGCACAGCAAAAATGAAAGAGATATGGCAGGGTGGTTATAATTAAAGTTACCCTATTTAGACCAGAGTAAAGCCCATTCTGGTAGACCTATTTCGTTGAAATTTGGTATCTATGTTATATGGACCATGGGGAAAAGAAAACTGCAATACAAGATAGTACAAATTTTGACCACCCAGTGAGAAGGGGATGCATGAAGAACAAAATAACCAAAACTTTTATTTAATCACATCATTTGTTCAATGTGCATTCCATTTGCGACAATCACACATTCAAAGCGTGTTACAGCATATTCAACAGTAGCATGAAAGGTTTCTCGATCAGCTGGAGCTGACGTGTTATGCTTGCTATCAATTCAGGCATAGTTCGCATGCTTCATAGACACGAACTTTCAAGAACCCTCATAATCGGAATTCAAGACCGGAGAACGAGGAGGCCGGGCGGTCGGAAAACTTCTCGAAATTATCTGACCATCTCTTAAGTGGGCACGAAGCAGTGCCTTCACTGCCCGGCTGAGTAAGGTAGTGCACCATCTTGCATGAAGATACTAGAATCTTAACATTCTCGTTCTTGAAAAGGCAGGAATGATTTGCTACTGAAGAAGGTCGCAGTAATGAGCATCCTTGAGGGAACACTGTTGAGTGTCTTGAGCAGTACTCTGCTTAAAGAAAAAGGAGCCAAGAATGAAATCAGTTGTAAGCTACACCATACTATAATGCATTCAGAATGCATAAACGGTTCATGCACAATATTAGGACTTGCAGTACCCTATATGCGAGAGATTTAGCAACAAGACTAGCAACTACCTTATATGTTAAACAACATTCAGTCTCAATCTTTTCAGACTCTGCCTCTGACTTAACGGCGCTCTGTGACTTCAAGACCAGAAAAAGGTTGGTTCGCGAGGTACACCAACAGTTGTTAAAATTTTTATTCGCCAGATCATCCTCAATTTTTCTGGGTCCCGGCACATGTGAGAATTCTGAGAAATAAAATAGTTGAACAGTTGGTGAAAGAATCAGCTATGTCCACACTTGCACAAGAGACGTAAGTCACACTATCTATTTCGCACCTCAAATCCCATACGGCAATCCTTGATGCAACAATGGCCAATGAGATGGGAAACAGCATTAACTGGAGAAAGAACTTTCAAAATGGTTCCAAAAGTATCAATTAATTTGGTTGGCAAAACGACTTAAATAATGTGGTTCCTCTTTGGACATTGTCCTTTTCTAGCCTTCATCGTCTTCAAATTAGTAAAACAGATCTCTGTGACTGCAGCAATTCCACCTCAAGAAATCAGCTGATGCAAATTCGTCAACCTGTCCCAGTGTCACTCTAAAAACAAAATTATAGTACCTAAGTTGGCCCAGATGCTGCGTGAGTCACAAGAGCTGTGTGGTGTCACAAGAGCAAAATTTTCGTTAGCGGCTAGTTTTCCTACGAAGGATCTATCATTTAATTTGCAAATTATTAATACAATATGTAAAATTACGTAATTACAGTAAACTTCCACGATGCAACAATCACACAAGAGTTGGCTCTTTAATTACTGTATAGAGAATGGTATTGGTAAATGGCATAATAGCACTGGAGTTTTTAGAACTCGTAGCTTTGGTTCTGAATGCATATTGGAAAAGCCTCTGTCAAACGTGTATTTTTATCCAATATAGTACAAATGTATATGTACTGAGCAAGGCATTTCAACCTTGTTAATAACAAATGTTGTATAATATTCATCTAATCATATTGTTTTTGCTTATAATAAACAAATCAAACAAAAGCAGCAGTGTATGATAACATTTGTTCATAATAAATAATATAATAACATAATGCATATAATAACATAATGCTGCTGTTGGTCATAATAAACAAATCAAACAAAAGCAGCAGAGTATTAAAGTTAAGCTTTGGTTATCACTTCCGCTACGGCAAGTGCAAGCAAGACTTCTTCTTCTTGCACTTTTACACAAATTCCTTGAACTTACAGATGAGTAACTTTGTGTTTCCATGAAACTGGAAATGAGTTTTCAGCTATTTCAGCATATCCGAATATTTCTTTTTATCGAGAAACAGGTCGGGTCTGGGCTCATCATCAGTGGTAGTATCTCTTATAATTGCAGGAATTTTGTCAGGTTAATGTAGGAATCGGTTTCTTTTTATTTTGCATCTTATGAATTTTAGGTCGAAATTCAAATAATTTAGAGGATGCCACATGATCCAGTTTGCAGGGAACCCTAGTTGGTTTTTCTTCTTTGTAAGATTACAAATGTAAGTCAAATGATCGTGACTACATATGAAACATCTTGGGATATTATAACAAAATAACTGTCCGTGCCCATAACGTTGACAGCGAGAACACATCACCGTTTTGCGATTGCTTCTGTATCTCTTGAAGTTCACCCTAAGATTGAGAATTATCGACTTCTTGTATATGTTTCTAACCGCATCAAATCTCTGTAAAGACGAAAAATACAGGAAGTTTCAGTTTTGTAACATCAAGATTTCTTAGAGAACTAGGAGACTTTAATGACAGGAAAGCCATCTGCGCAGAGTTCAGCTTTAACTTCTTCGGCAGTCATGTCGTTAGTAAATCCTCAGATAACTTTTAGACACGTTTGGTCCTTAGTATGAAAAGTACTAAACTGTATATTATTTTTCATAAACACAGCCAGTGCAAGGTCACGATTTTGTCAGAGTCAAAAACAATAACGATTTCGTCCTTGGTCAGAGTTCGGGTGTAAATGTTCACTCCAAACTTAAAATAGTCTTTTTATTTCACTCCATTTAACCAATGGTTTGGAACAAATAACTGGAAGTAATTTTCGTCGATCGGATTTTGATCTTCTGGGCAGTCCATTTTTTAGTCATTAGCAGTAGCAGCGAGAGCATCCAAATTGGTAATTTGTGGGCGTCTCAGCAGTAGCAGGTACCAACTTGGCGACTTTAATAGGAGTAATCCGTTCATTATCATTTCTTGTCTGCGGTTGGCAGGGTTTCAATTCATTACTTCCGCAAGTAATTGCATTGGCGGCTTGCTTTCGTCTTTTATTCTTCATTTTGCTTTTGTTATAGATAATTATAGAACCTGTTTTCTTGAATTGATTAAGATAATCTTCATCGTAGAAGTGAGTATGTTCGAGATTTTCAGAGTATATATAATAGGGAAAATTTTTTCTTCTACTTTGCGTAAACTGTCATGCACTGGTTTCTGCAACTTTATTTAAGTCGCGATAAATCACAGTATCTTCTTCACGACCTCTCTTAATTCACAACAATGTAGTCCACCAAAAGCTTGGTAAACTCGAACTGATCTGCCGCGTATACTCATGATTAATAAAGCATGTGAAAAACACGAATCAGGATCAAGATTTTATGGCTCTTCAACTTCCGCTGTATATCGTTATGCAAGTCGCGTTCCGGTTGTGTTGAGATAAAGGTGCCATAAAGGTGATGAAGAGAAAAAAAATCGTCCATGATACTCCGAAGAGAATCTGTTGAAGTATTGGAAAAGGAATTGTAAAACATCACAGTCCAGGGAAGAAAAGATACCCTATAATCTTGATAAGGAATGCACCTCTCAGATAAGTGGTGCCATCTATCATTCCCTTGAGTAATAAATATTCATCGTTCGAATAATTATTTTATGGCACTGACTACTGGCTTTTTAAAACGCCCCAAATTTGCACTATGTCCTTTTTACCTTGCATGAAAAGTGCCATCTGATGTTTGAAATTTGAACTATTAATTTTTATTGTAGATTTCTTTCCCCCGTAGTCCATATAATGTATATACCACGTAACTACGTTTAAAAAAAAAATAGGTCTATCAGAATGGGCTCTACATAGCTCCAAATGGGATAACTTTAATTATAATCACCCGTTACATTTAATTATAGAACCTACGTGTATCAAAATAAATATTTCATTGATTTATTTCTGTTTTAATGGGAATGGAATGAAATATGTATAATTCATATTTTATCAAGGAAATCAGTGTTTGTATTTCGTTATACAAGTATTTATATTTCATATTTTTCAGTGTTTATAATCAGTGTTTATATTTCGTTACACAATTTGTTCAAATAAAATATAACAAAGGTATAAAAAAAATTAATGCCTCTTACAACAGTTAGGTTTTTTTAATATATTCGGATGGCCTGCAGCTTCACTAAAATCTAGTACACAGTTCTCTTCTACAGCACTTAACGTAAATACCTTTTTATCTACTTAATTATAGAACCGTAGCTAAGGTTTTCAGCGCCCGGGGGGGGGTAGCTGAAGATTTTGCGCCCCCTTCTATGTGCGAAGTATGGGAAAGATTTCATTCTGAAATTTCAAATTGGCGCTCCCTGGATACTGCACTCGGTGGCAGATGTCCTCCTTTGCCCCACCCTAGCTACGCCACTGCTTAATTACTAAGCAAATAAAAATAAAAAAAGCTTTTTACAGACTCAAAATAATTTACAACACAAATACACTGAGGCATATGAAATATACATAAAACGTTAATGTTAAAAAATGTGAAATCAATATGGGGGAGAACAGAAGCAAAAGAATTATTTTTCTTCTTTTTCCCAATGGCGGGAAGAATTATTTTTCTTCTTTTTCCCAATGGCGGGAAGAATTATTTTTCTTCTTTTTCTCAATAGCGGGCCCAAGTCATATCATAGACGCTGGTTACTACTAAGGCGAGAAGCGGTGATCATTTTATTATGATGGCATCTAATAAGGGGCTCCCATTTGCATCCTACGAAGGGATGGAGAGTTATTAATCATGCCTTCTTCAGGATTTGAACTCCGGCCCTTTGGTGCCTTCGGCGGCTTTCCTAACTACTATATGTCATCTGGTCGGCAAAGCAAAAGAAATTTAAGTCTTTACATTCATTCCTAATGAGGGGCAATTATTTTTAGCCTGTTTCTTCTGGTACTTGAAACAGCTTATTTTTTTTAACAACAACTAAATTTCGCCCATACTATTTATATTTTATACGAACCGCTGAAAGTTTTCTTTTTATTAATCTCACCCGATATACATATTTCATGCCAGACTGGCTACTACTACTACTACTACCCTAACAGTCATATTAATCTTTGACGATGCAGGACGTATCATAACTGACGGCTGCACGGATTGCAGCCATGATGTAATCTATATGGGACACGTGTAATGAATATGTGGTTTTACAACTAAAAGCAACACCTAGAAATAAGTGCTAGTCTTCATGAGAGAATTAAATGGTTTTTATGGAATGCATAATCCAGAATTTGGTTTTCCCCAGGCATTGCGCCATGCAGTATCGAATGGAAAATACCGATGGAAATGAGATTTCAGAATTTATGATGGAAGATACAGGAATGCTCGTTAATACTAAAGCAGAGAAAAAACAAAGTCCAGTTAGCTGCACAGTAAAAGTAAAATTATCATTCGCCAGTCTCTTTCTGGCTGTTAAAAAAAAGTCGCTTGGCAAAATTTCCAGACACGCGGCACTCACTGCTGTTCATTGCGGGGGGCAGAAAAGAAAGGGCAGATCTCGAGAATTTATTTTCACTTTAATGTATACAAAACTAAATAACAAAACACTCCTTTTCACTAAATAACAAAATACTCTCTCGAGGTTCAAAAGAAATTTACCTTTCGCATGAACAAAAAGATGTATTTTTTATGCAAATTTTGTGAAAGCAAAATTTAACATACCTGTAATGAAGCTTACGATATAACCCACAAGCAATGTCAATATCGTACCAGGCACAGGATGAAGAAGGAAACTTAATTTGAAGAGCGGGAAAATTTCTCTGTAAAACAAAAGAATATTTAACTAATAATGCTACACAAATATAAAATATTAGAAATTCACATGGATTTAAAAGTCTTGTAAAAATTCGCCACGTTTTGGAGCAACCTTGTCGCACTATCTGACGAAACAATCTTCATACACAGTTTATAATACTAGTCAGTATAGTTACGATGACTCGGATGGTAAGTTACTTTGATCCTTCTCTTTTCCTCAGTTTCGATTATTCCACATAATTGTTTCGTTCATTAATATTAAGCAATGTTTTCGTGCTGGAAGTAAAATGTTTTTAATGTTTTAAATTTGTGTGCTATTCTAAAAAGTTTCTAATTATGACTTTTGGTCATTTTTTTAATTATGTATTTATTTTATGTGTTGGTGTATTTAATTATGGCTAAGCACACGAGGGCTATCTGCTTAAGGAAGGGATGCTTTCGTGGAGGACTTTCTAAGGGAAACACGTTATACATGGGACACGTTATACACGTAACTTATGGGAAAAACCACGAAAACGCCATGCAGCCAGCCCATTCGCGGGAATTGAACCTCGAACCGAACTAGCAATGTTCAGCGACTTTACCGCTCGGCCGCTAGTGGGCTATTTATTTAACGAGAAAGCAATAATCACAAGCAGTAGCTGAAGAATGTCTTGAAATGAGCACCCCAATCTTTAAAAAGAGATCTCAGAAACAATTAGTAAGTAAGAATTCTTTCTTTCTTACTAACTATTTGAAGCCGTGACGTTCCGATTCAGCCTTTTCCAAAATTCATCTAAACCAGGTATAATTCCTTGATCATCATTTCTCAATCTTTTCTCATACTATCGTATAAACGTAAAGGAGAGGAAGTTTATGATTTTTCACCGTTCAATTTTTGTACCCAAATGATCACATGATTTGCATTAGGCTTCGAATTTGACCTTTTTAATTTTAATACAAGTTCCCATTTCTTGGATGTTCGCCGAAAACATCGCGGACGAAAACGTCGCGGAGAAAACAACGCAAGGCGAAAACATTGTGGGAAAAAAGAAAGCAAAGAGAAATCACTGCAGTTCTAAAACATTGTGGTACAAAATATCGTCGTCGAAGATAAAGCTGTTCAATTGTAGAGACATTAAGTTAATTTGGAAGCAGGAGAGATGAAAAATGAGCAACGCCTTTGTCGGGAATGGACCTCTGGAATACGCGTCCAGCCATGCAGACCACCACACCACGAAGGCAGCTAAGAAGGCGGGAGAAATACTTTATAAAATAACTTCGCAGTGTAAAAACATCGTATAATAAACAAATTTCTATAAAAATAAATATTTTCATTTTTATAGAAATGAGTAGAAAATTAATGCAACTTATAGCACTTAATAGAAGTTTTAAACTACATTATTAACTAATAAAGGTCTATAAAGTTGCATTAATTTTCTACTCATTTTCAGGTTTTAAATGCTTAGGTTTCCTTCTCATGCTTTCAGCAAAAATGTATTAATTCAAAATTATGAATTATAAAAATGAATATATTTTTCTTTCCCTCTTGCTCTCACAAATCATTAAGCGAATACGCGTTTACAACTTTTAAAGCCTGAAAAATGCGATGTTATCGTCAGGCAATGATTTGTAAGAGCTTTATTTTTTACCCCGATATTTTCGATGATGATATTTTTAAACTGCCAAGTTACTTAACCGCTGTATTTCGGACGGCGATATTTTATACCACGACGTTTTCGCCTTGCGTTGTTTTCTCTGCGATGCTTTCGTCCGCGATGTTTTCGGCTGTAAGCATTTCTTGTTGTCTTATTGCACAATACTGTACTAAAATGACTGCCAACCATTTCCAAAAACTCTACTTTATAATGTATGAGGTCTTTTTTTGTTGAAATTTCTCCATAAAAACAGATAAAACAAATACGTGCACTAAGTTTATTGACTTAGATTTTAATGAAAATATTCAGAATTATACCTTCTTTTATTCATAAAAGCGTAAGGGGGTTGTGAAGACTTACACTGCATTTTAATTAAGGAGAGGAGATATTTCTAGATTGAGTCGGAAATAAAATAACTGAATCTGAATCTTGTAAGACTATTTCTTTTATTTTCATCCAAGTCTTCTAAGACTCAGATGAAAATAAAACTGTCCAGGATGAGCTGGGAACGGGCTGAATCAATATTATACCTTCTGCGGCGCATTTTGCCAAACAGAACAATTGCATGAGTGTGTCTCACGAACATTTTATCCACAGAAAATAGTCGAGGAGTTGTCTGCTGCAGACAGACAGAGGGATCATTTAACCATGTTTCACGTGGGGAATGATCACTTCATCATGTTACATTAAAATAGTACATCAAATCACTTGCTATAATAATGCTGTACATAATTTAGAGCTGACATCGTGGCTAATGCAGTATTCTGATAGCCGCGGTTTTCAGTTTCCTCCAGCAGCATAACGACAATCCAGTCACAGCTCTACATTACTCTCGCTCAGCAAGAAGGAGCTGGTCTCATATTCGCAAAAACTAAATCCCAGCGATTTCTTCCTGTAGGATAATAAATACAGTACTTGAAGGATAAAAGTACAGTAAAAAATTCAGAACACTTATGGAATTCAAGCTTATTATATGTTTGCAAACAATTACAGTCGGCATTCTGGAAAATTTAGTGGTGAAATTAATCTTTGAGTGCAACAAATTATTGTTGCTAACAGTGAACATTCTGAAAAAATGCAGTAACTTATATTTCATTAACTGTCCGCAGGATAATAAAAGGCTGAGCGTCTGCAGCGCCTGTATCAGTAAAGCCTTTTTACTAATACAGGGGTAGCTTCTTGTTTGAATTTTATCTGCTTTGATATAAATATGCAGTCAGAACGGATTTTTTTTTTTTTTTTTTTTTTTTTTTTTTTTTTTTTTGCGAATCATTTTGAGACATTCCTATGAAAACTTGCAATTGACATTAGCATGAGATATCCAAATACAGAAAAACAAGATATAATTTAATCGAAATTAAACTTACATACAGGAAAACCTTTTACAAAAAACACACTTTCAAAATAAGCAGTTTAAGATATTATGAACGGAAACATATATTAAGAAACTGGAAGGGGGAAAAAAAAAACATGCCAATGTAAAATTTAATATTAGGCGAATAGGTAAGCTTAGTTTGGCGTAAAATTGGAATAAAATTCAATCGATTTCGAGAGCGATCAGGTCTATCTTCTTCAGATGCATTATTTGCTCCTGAAGTAGATCGATATCTACATGAGCCTCATATTGTACAAAATGTCGAATTATTTTAAAAATAATATTACTTGTTAATTACAGGTAGAAAATATATAAGGATTAAAGAAATAGATGCATGAAGGATAACAAATAAGTAAACTAGGTTTGACTAATTGGTCACTTAAGTCATTTTCAGATGTTCAAGTAAACAACTACAATGTTTGCAATTTCTCATTATAAATAATATAAATTTTTCAAAACTTAAATTTCTATTCTTTCAGTGGTTAAATATGTTTTTAAAAATTGCAGAAACTTGAATATTGTCTCATTTTATAATCACATTCTCAACATGGAAACAGAGATATTTCCTTATCTACAACTAATCACAGTAATACCATTTCACGCTGAATTGTTTATTATACTAAAGATATCAAATAATTTTCCGATTCAAAATCCGTCTATAAAAACTGAGAACAAGACTATATATATATTAATAGATAGATATTTTTTAAAAATGATGTCGTTTTAATTTAAAAATTAAACAAAAACCAGATAGAACATTATTAGCCTGAAGCAGTGATACTTTTCAATGTCTTATCTAAAAAAATGTCACTTAACAGAATGATAATTAGATACTGAAAAAAATTCAAACACTAATTTCACTTAACTTACTCTTTAAGAACAGATATAGTATCCATAGGCATTACTGTTGTCGACTGGCTTAAAGTTAAATTGAAGCTATGCAGTGACGTCACATTTGTTATAAGTGAAGTATCGGTAATATTGGAAGGACAGGAGTCCACACTTTGGGGTAATTTGATTTGGGGAAAATCGGATATAATGGCACCAGCTCCAATCCATGCGTTCAGAATAATACCACTTAGAAGACCTACAAGGATACCCTAAAAGGAAAGAGCGAAATTAGCAGGAATACTTAACAAGTACGTAAGCGTAAATGAAATTCTGTATCAAGATTTGTACTGCAAAATGAAAGGGCAAAATTTTTCGATTGAAACTTCTTTCCTTACCTTCTGATTAGCAGTCGTAGTTAGCATACCCAAAGTGATTATGGACAATGTAGGGCCGCCGATGGCTGTGAACACGACGAAGGCAGCAGGAATGATCGCCTTGATGTTGCCTACCAGGTAAGTCATGGCTATGCATAGAGCACTGTAGAAGAAGGCTGAAATATAAAATCAATAGCACAAAGCCGTTGAAAGAGTGTTTTTTTTTAAACATAATACAAGACCTCAATGTATTCGAAGTCAGTATGAAATAGATTAATTCTAGCAATTTCAGAAAAATATGCATCATAAAATTTATTTTTGAGGCTAATTTCAGTGAGGATTTCTCGACACTTTCATAAAATTCAGTATATGTAATATGGTAAAGAGTTTTGTATTTTATAATAAGCTTTTTATAATCTAAAAACGGAAAAATAATTTTTAGACCTTTCCCTTTCTTTTTTAATAGCGCATTTGGTTTGGATTATGGTTCTGCTGTACGAGTCAGTCAACCCCAAGTATACATTTCGTTGCAATAAAACGTGCAATATGTGTAACTTTCGTATTGATACTACTAGTTTTTCTGAATGCGATCTCCTGATATTGACTCTAAAACAAATTTATAAATTTCTAAAATCAAACTTGCGTAAAAGAGTTGATTTTAAATATTTTAAACTGTGGTCTTAAATTCAAATTACATGGGGGACGAATGTATACAATCTAAAAGCAACTGATGCGCCGAATATTGTTTCCATTTGTTTTTAGCAAAATGGAAAGTTTTTTTTTAAACAAAACAAACTTTTTTACCTAAATTATAAGTTTTATAATATATAAATAAAATATATAAATATAATTTATAATATATAAATATAATTTATAAATAAAAGTTTACTTGCCTAAATATTTACCAAAACGCACTCACATAATAATAATTATAACGCAAAAGAAAATATTCCAATTTATATTTTTTTATCTGAAATCTAAAAGTAGGTATCTGCAAGAAGGTTTCACTGGCTACATTTTGTAATCCAAAAGCACTGATAACCAAATATTATATTTTCAGAGTGGTATTTATTTCAAATAATCCTAGTGGTGTTGAAGTAACTACTGAATAACATACTTTAAACTAAAAATGAATTACAAAAATTTTCTGAGCGGGGAAGCATTTCAGAATAAACAATGATAACCTATTATCGTTCTTTTATTTATTAAATTTTTCTTCGACACATACAGTAAAACACATATATTTGCATGTAAATATTTATACACTTTTTATTTCTTACTACAGCTTTAAGCTACATCCTCTCATGGCGTTTCAATTTTGATAAAGTTTGTGACCTTCGAGAAAAATTACTCGAAATTATCTTTATCACGAATTCTGGATGCTCATCGATCAGCTGGTCCACCTCTATATTTGTTCACATATAAATATCATAAAAATTTGTTCAGATATAAATGTGTTCCAAAGTAATGCGATTATTATAATTGCAAAAATTATGATAATCGCATTATTATATAATTGTGTTATATAAATTATAATATTTTATTATACATAATTAGAAACTGTATAGAAAACTACACATTACCGGAAATGGATGGATTGGATTATTTAATTATGGCAAACCACATGAGGGCTATGTGCCTAAAGGGAGGGATGCTTTCGTGGAGAACTTTCTAAGGGAAACTGGGCTCGTATACACGTTACACATGGGGAAAACCACGAAAACGCCCATGCAGCCAGCCCGTTTACGGGATTCGAACCTCGGACAGAACTACCAGTGTTCAGCGTCTTTACCGCTCTGCCGCTGGTAGGCCCATTCCCGGAAATGCTTATTAACTTCTGTGACTTCGACACTTGTCACAAAATGAAATTTCATTGCGAAATACACTCTGTTATAAACCAATATTTACACTCAGAAAATATTTGATCCACGACTACGAAATGCGGCATGCAAATGTGTTTGGCGAGTTGTGTAAATGATTAAACTTGCAGCAGTAATCAATATTGTGTGAGTGAGTGAGTGCACCGCCATGATGGCTTCCGACCACGGACATGAACCAAACGGAATTATATACCATTACGGCGGGGAAGACTCCAGAGTAACAAGGTTGAATATTATATACTAACAGTTTTTACATATTGTTAACTGCAAGGCACCTAGCGTTATTCTGGTTATCTGCTTTAAGTTCTGAACATTTGAAACATTATAATATTATCTACGGTTGTTTCTGCTTAGGCAGTGTCCTGAAATTTTCTCTATTTGATCAAGGGCTGTTCTGGTTTTGAGTGTGTTAGTCGTCCACATTGCCCAGGCACAGTCCGCTGGTTTCTTCAAGTGCCAGGTTCTTGTATGTACACAATGGAAGTAATAATGGTCCGTGTAGCCTTCCTCTCCGCATTCGCAGAAAGGAGTATCCCTAAGTCTGAATCTGTTCAGGTACACTGGGAATGGTCCATGACCTGTCATGAACTGTGTTAGGCTAGCACAGTGGGTCTTTATTTCCATGTTAACTTTTGGCAGTAAGCGAAATGCCCTTCGTTCTACCTTTGCCTCTGTCCATCTACTTTGCCAAATTTTGTAACAGACTTGTCAAAGTTGTTCGCTTAATATGAGACCAAGGAAGTTTAGGTAGGTCTTTCTAATATATCCGTGCAGTTGGCTGCCTGCTTGGCCAATAGGTCAGCGGCTTCATTGCCTTGAATCCCTGTGTGAAGCGGGAACTTATTTTAAAGTGGGTCTTTGCGAAATAGGCATTGTCGGAAAGCTGTTTCTGAATTCGGCATACCAAAGGACTTCCGGCTGTTTTGACTTACGATAGCCGCCAGACTTGATGCCGAATCACTGAGTATGGAGAATTTCTTCTGTTGACATGTGTTCGCATATCTAATTGCAGCACTGATAGCTAGAAGCTCCTTGGTATATAGAGTTGTTCGAGCCTAATTTCCTTTTGCACTCGAATGTTACAACTCCATTTTCTAGTCTACAGAAGGCGCTATCCGTGCCGTTCTCAGTTTTGGAGCCATCTGGGAAAAGGTTTTTACTGTACCTCTGAATTGGTTGGTCGTTTATACTGATACTGTCGGAGAGATTAAAAGCTGCTGGATGAAAGTTATTGCGGTTGTTTTGCTCCTCGTAGTCCGAGTGGTGATAACTATGACCCAGAGTGTTGAAGTTTGACCCAGCCTGGTAACCCTTACGATAGCAGCCTCCCTTTCTACTATCAAAATCTAGGGAGAATTCCTGCTAGTTGTTGTAGGGCTAGTGTTGACGTGGTACGGTAGGCCCTGCATACTTGAAGTAGCTGCTGTCTCTGAATAGAGAGCAGGGATCTTTTCATATGAGAGGTAAGTTCGCCACCCCAGATTGCTGCTCCTAAGTTATTACTCTTTATTGAGGAGAAATACAACGCGCATCTGAAGTGCTCAGCCGGTAGAATGTATAAGGGCAGGTGCGTCCAGTAATGACCATTTACAGCCACGCTGACAGCTTACATACACGACATTATAACGAAAGATGCCTTCATGATGCACTCCACGGCGTTACGAACAGTTGTCAGACTTTGAGAGGGATCGCATCACTGGATAAAAGAGGCCGGTTGGTTGAACAGTTGGATCGGCCGGCTTATTGGTTAAAGCAATATAGTAGTTATCTACTGCTGGAACCAGTGGCTCAGCGAAGGCATAGTCAGTGGCCGCAGTGGCTCCCGGCCACTAGTGCGCGGGATGATTGCGCAGTTAGAGAGCTGCCACGTCCGAACCAACAGTTACTTAACCATTGACTCAACGCCATTTGCCAACTCGCAGGGATCCCTTGATATCAAAGGATATAACTAAATTGATGGTTGGTCTCAAATCTCGACGTCCATTAACACGTTGAGCGCCATGTCAGCTATCTGTGGATGACACTAGACTTTCCGTTTAGGCCGCGTCGACCGCTGCTGGCTGACAGCGTGTAACATGATATATAACTATACAATTTACCCTGTTTTATGGAATTACAGAAAAATTATTTAAAATTTACTTAATTTTGATTCATTACAGGACTAATGGATTTCATTGAAACACAGTAAGTATAAAAACGGTTCTCCATTACAGCTATTACAAATTGTGACAACTGTCTTAGTCTTTTTTCTGGCCATTACTCTGCCAGCTTCAGTTGCATTTTTATCATAACATAATTTACAATATTTCCGTACTTCAGAGGCTTTTCCTGGTTTTCTTTGGAGTTTATGTTGTCGTTTTTTAGATATTCTTGCATTTTTGTTCGATGGAATATCTTCTTTTTTCAAAACTTGTAAGGGATAGCGCTAATTCTTTCCGGACTTCAGTAATGCTAATTTTTTGCTTCGTAATATCTTTCTATAGGATGTAACTATTTACAAAACAGACTTTGCGCGTAACGTGTTGAATGAATGCCTATAGGAATCACGTTCCAAACGTAAACTATCTTCTACTGCGATAAGAATCGCTGGCCCTACAATACCAGCGCTTTTAAGCAGCGCGCGTGGCCTGAACGGGATTGCCTAAGAATACGCTTGGCGCTCAACGTGTTAACAGCTCAGGATTTACGTACAAGCTATAACTTAAGGCCTTCACATTTTGGGCGTCCCCCAAAAATTAAAATATAGTATAACAGACTTATAAAGGGCCCCCATATCTCAAACAGCTTAGGGCCTTATTAAGTCTAAATCCGCCTCTGTCCATTACGACGCTTGTCATTGACACTCCACTATAAGCAGTGTCATCTTGCATGGTGCCGCTTTCGCTTAAGCTGAACAGTTTCTGACTGTAGAAATGTGACCTTTACCGACGAATCAAGATTTTCTCTCAATGCTGCTGACTGCCGCATACATGTCTGGAGACGCAGAGGTTAAGCTGTCTAATGTACCCTTTGTTACCGAGCAGCATATAACGAGAACACAGGGTGTGACAGCCTGGAGAGCGATCAAGTGGGACAGCCATTCAGAATTAGTCGTGCTACGAGGTACTGCGACTGCTGGCAGGTACGTTGGCGATATTTTGCAGCTGATCGTATTGCCTATGCTAGCAGGCTGTCTAGGTTCTGTTTTCCAGCAGGACAAAGCTCGGCCACATATAGCAGAACTTCCCCAACATGACGTGTTTATGCCCTCGACTGGCTTGCCGGGTCTCCAGACCTATCACATATCAAACATGTTTGGGACATGCTGGGTAGGAAATTTCAGCCATGTACAAATACGTCCCATCTCGCAGATTAGTTGCTCCATTTGCGGCAAATTTTCAATCTACTGCAAGGGGCATTGGCAACTTAACAGATTCTATGCCCAAACGAGTACGGACTTGTATAGCTACCAAAGGTGACTTTACCACCCGTTGATTTTTCACATTCTTTGTACTGCGATTCGTAAATAAAAAGCATTTTTGCCCCAGTCTTTGAACATTTGTTTATGTACTCAAACACTATACTACTGCCCAGTTTCGTAGTTGTGGCTCAATTCTTTCTGAAGGCGACATTGTTTTTCCAACATAATGTAATTCCTGTCTGAAAGGTTCCAGTTATTAGTATAACTTGAAGTTTATTCTATCTGCATGAAAAAATTACGAAATTAACCATAAACGGGGGGGGGTGAGGATATTAGCACCATAAACATTAAGCGTCCGAATTTTTTCTACAAATTCTCTTCCTCCACAGCAATTAAATAACTCATCCAAGTGTCGTTTATAAACAGACATTAATTAAGGCACCTCATTTGGTTTTAGAAAATAGGAAGGATACATAAAGTTATAGCACTTCAGGATAGATTCGGAGTTACGTTTTACAATTAAGACATCATAAAAACAACAGAGAAATGATGTAAAAATCACCAGATCACATCATCATTAACAAAAGTAGAATAATTCTGGTAATATTCGTGCTTAGTAGTTGCCATGAATTTGAATGCTACATTTTCCGAAAGCCAATTAATTTTCTTTCTGCGCGCCTGCTGGGTGGTGACAAGGCAAAACCGTATTGATTCTAGGCAATTTCAACAGCGCGTATACATAACAAGTCAGTGCCTTCTGTTATGTACGGGATGTACCACTTCAAATGGTATTGTTAAATGTTTTGCAAATGAAACTTTTCTGGGGTTGGGAGACTGCAATAAAAGTTAACTGTAAGGGTTTAAGCGAAGGTTTTAATTTTCTAACAGTTATTTTTAATTTTGAAATCTTTTCTTTTAAATTCTTGCTTTCCTTCTACAACTCCCTGCCAGAATGGAATTTTAGTATCGCATTTAACCCTTTGCGGCACAGTATGTCCGGTCTAGACACACCTAAAAATTTCCTTCTCTACGCACAGAAAAATTGAATGAAAAATTATTTATAGGTTACTATAGGTTACTTTGAACTTTCTTTATTTATAGTAGATGGCAGCTCAACACAAACCAGTCCATATATTTTAGCCATGTTTAGTTTTTTAAGACCCTCATTTTTCAAAGAAATCTTCCAGATTTTTTAGGGAATTGTTTGAAAAGAAATTTCTATGTTATTTTTTTGGCTGTATGCTAATCTCCTTATTCTACATTAGTTTTAAATTTTTATCTTGAAATCTTGTCTAAAATCAAACGGCGAACCCTAGGTGTGCCCAGACCGGGCCTCATCGATAATCTAGGACAACGGAGAGAGTCTGTATTCTTTGTTTCTCCGCATCTCATAGGTCAGTTCATTGACAACATTGCTCGTTTCAGCACTCTTTCCGAAGCTCTATTCAATGAGTGTGCCACTTTGGGCACACCCACAGAATTAAAACGATAAGTGCCATCTTCACAAAATTTTACTTGTGTACTCCTCTAGGCCTAATTAGACTGCCTACCTTTTTTTAAAAAATCAAAACTCCGATTTTAAAAGATAGCGTGCTGGAAAGGGTTAAATTCCGACATGGTTAGGTACGGACATGGCAAAGGTTAAGACTATGAAATACGATTCTCGGGAGAAATGACTCGACGTTATGAGTTACAAATTTGTTCTGAAGACAAAGATTATTTATTAAGAAACATTTTGAAATTTAAAATTAAGAAACATCTCCCTCTGTAACTGAATCAAATTTTTATATTTAAAATCTCAAATCTCTCAATCCATAATGAGACTTATAAGGAGCTTCCATTTTAATTTCAGCTGAAGAACACTATGCGAGCAGGTGTTAGAAACACTTAACGGTATAAAGAACAAGACATTTTGAAGAATATATAAGACTTGAATTTAAGAAGTCATTTCTTAAACAACTTTTAGCTATAAATACTGAATTTTTTACTGTTAAGAATTCTCCGCACATTTACTAGAACTAATCCTGGTGCAGTGAATCACTACAGCAAACGTTATTCAGCTGTTCAAAATTTGCACAGAAGTGGAGCATCGGAGATTGATCTGTTGATGTATATCATAGAACTTTGGCCGATAAAATTTTGATTTGGAAAAAAAGATAACTGGATCTTATTTAGCGATAGATTTAAAATAATAATATTCCACAGATAACTCTGACAATAATCAACTTTCAGTTACTGTTCATTTCTGTTTCTAGATCTAATAGTCTTCTGAAGCTGGTTCATAATCACTGTGCAGAGATAAGGAAAACTACATTATAGATGCCTCAAAATCTAGATAACGACGACTGTAAAAAGTACACATATAGGGTAAAATTTAAGAACACAATGTGTTTCAAAAAGAGTATACAACTTTGCATAACAACAGAAAGTAAATGGCGAAAAAAGATAATATTACCGTGCAAGTGCAGAGTAATACTTAAAAATGCTTCAACACAGACTTTACTTCAATATGAGTGCCACTATTAGTTTTACAGATGCACCAACATATTACTGTTATTATTAATCGAGCATTATATGACGTAATGGCAGCAAAGATGACAGTGGTTCTGGAAATAAGCTCAGCAATATGGGCTGGAAGAACTAAAATATGCTCTCGACCTTTGGAAAGTCCCGCCTTCCCTTCCCGCCAAAACAAACTGTGTAAAGGTTATTCAAAAGAACCGAGCCTATTTAAAATGGCTTTGTTTTTAGATTATACAAATAATAAAAAAAGAGAGTATTACGTAGAATGGGTGAGAAAAATCTGTAGCTTTGCAAGGATTCCATGTGATTTTTTTTATTTATACAATCTCAAGACGATCATCAAATTCCTGGCATTCATGTGGTATTCACAAATGTTTTCACTGGCTTCGCAGCAGTAACAATGTGGATTTAGCAAGTAATCTTTCAGGCAAATATGACAAATACGACAGCTTTAATGGACCTTCAATGGAAAGTATCCAATGACATAACGTTCAATTACCCAGGAACTCAATTGTAAGTTGATAAACACACATGAAATCCACTAAAAACGATTTAACGAGGAGAAAAGAACTTCGATAAGAAAAGCGGCATTCTAAAACTGATAACCCTAGTTACATTCACAAGATTGAACAGCTTTTCATTCGATGTGCACCGATTTAAACGCTGCTAATAAGAAAGGAATGAAACTCATCTAAATCTGGTTTAATCATTTCGAGTAACCTTGTATTAAATAAGCATCTCCTGTATGTCACTATATTAAGACTCATTTAACTTTCATACTTCTTACGAATCATTCTGTGCTTCCTAGCAAAGTTGTATATTTCCTTTTAAAACACGCTTTTTTTTTCAAGCCTATACAAAATAACTTACCAAAGAATTTGGACATCCGTGTAGCAGACTTCTCAGTAACCCATGATTTACAACTGCAAAATGGTCTCAAGAAGTCTTCGATAGTCACTGCAGCCAGAGAATTAACCGCTGAAGATATAGATGTGAGCGCCGCACAAAAAACTCCAGAAACGCAAAAACCTGCCATACCCGGATACACGCTGAAGGATCGTATCATGTAGTACGGTATGAGCTAGAAGAAAAAAATCTAAATACATATCTGGAAATCCTGCTGCTAACATTCGCCGTAGAAGTTGTACAGGCGTATACTGAATGAGAATGTTTAATGTCCCCATTACACTCTTTGAACATTAATAATAAAGGAATAGTTAAGCTGAAACAGTTAAAATGACTTGACATTTTATATTTTGTATTTGACGTGTACCTACAGTTTCTTAATGAGTATATATACCTATAGCGTCTTAATGAGTAAGATATCTTAATGATGTCACTCTCATCGTCATTTCTTCTAAGATTAAGGTTTAGGTTTTAGGAAAATCGAGAAATTACCTGGTACTATAGCAATGCAAAGGAAAAAAAAGGGGGCGTTTTTGAAATAGATTGGATTAAACCTTCAGTGGACAGTTGCATTTTGTCGTAAAAGTTACGAATCAATCAAAATTACGAATGAAATATTTTTACATTATTACTAACTACGCTGATAAATGTGAAATCATAATGTTAATAAAAGAATAGAGTAATCCGATATATAAACTGCCTCTATGAAACTAAACGGCCTTTCAGAGCTTCCTCCTATATTATATCTTCCTCATGTATGCCAAAAGGATAGGACATCCTACATCCGCGAGTCTCGAGAATTTGGAGTGCGATTCGATGTTTGAAACCTCGCAACTTTGCAACTTTTTTATCAGCTGAGTCTTTCGGTTCTAACTTAAAAACAACTGAACATTTTAACTCGAAACTTTGGATTTGCTAACATTCAGTATTATAGAAGATTAAAAAAGAAAGCAGTTGTAGCAGTTTCAGTGGATGTGGATCATTGATATCCTCCTGTGGTGGCCTAAGGTTTTGGATTAAAGAAGCCTTTCATGTTTACCGTTTAAGTTTCTAGACAAAACTTGTGTTCATTCTTTAATGCTTACACGTAGTTATAATTTTCTGCAGAAAATGAGCGCTCCATATTTAATATTTAATTGTGCTAACTATAAATTATCCTCCTCTCTCTATTTATTTTAATTTAAAAATACAACACAAAACTACTAAAAAAAAAATTCTGAACTGTTACTCAAACATGTTTTATTAAATTACACTAAGAAAATGAACCTCAAGCTTCAAGAGTCTCAACTATGTACTTCATTTAATAAATTTATACCTTTTTAATACTGTAGTTGTATTTTTAAGCATTATAGTCTGAAATTTAATTTTCACAAACATAAGAGTTTAATTTTTAAACACAGAATTAAAATTTTATTTTAAATAAAAACATTTAATATTAATTCTTCTCTCTCTTTTTTTTTTCTCATTCTCATTTGAAGGATTCGAGAATTAAGAACTTTTGGATTTGATTTGAGAAAAGTTAAGATTCCACATCTAGTGTAGAGAATGGGCCCCTTTTTAGATGAGAAAAAGCTGTAATTACCTGATCAGCAGACGAAATCCCACTAGTCTCTGTTTTCAGTAAAGGATCACAGCCGGCGAAATTAGCATAAATCACTAAGCCGCATGTATATATAGTATAGTACATGAGCAGATTCATTGGAATACTAATCAGCAATGCTCTAAAAACAGAAAAAATTACTTAGCAAAAAATATATATATTTACTCCAATTTTAGCTGAATAATGTAACTGCATTTTCATGTTAAATTCACAAGAACAGTTATTTGTGTATTTTATTCTCCAAACAAATACAGCACAAAATTTACAACTTACAGCTGAGACCGCTTCAGTGTGCTAAGTGTCAGCAGTCGTTGAACTTGTGTTTGATTGGCTCCACAAGTTGTGATGCCATACATAAATCCTCCTATTAAGGCACTCCAAACAGTAAACCTCAAAGTTGGGTCAAAGCTGAAACTACAATAAGAATAAATATAAGTTACAATAAAAAATAAAATTTATTATTATTACTTGCACATTTTATTAAAAGTGAAACATGTAAGTCGAAAGCACTGTTATCGTGCGACTTTTGTCTAATGGCACCGTTTGTACGTGGTAGGTAGTGTAAATGGATTTTCCAGAACGCTGCTAAAACTATGGCTGGCAATGTTTGTCGATAGATGGTGCTATGAGCAAAGGCTGATATTCATTTCTGTTGTGTTAGATGTGTGGCCGATTTCTAGGTCCTGCTGAGCCGTTACATGACGCTTCGACCCATGCTTCTACTTCAAGTTCTGAGATACACAGTTTTTTAATGGACAGCTAAGTCGCTGCACACATACGTTAACATTTTTTGAGAGATGAGATGAATACTACATTAATTTATGTAAACACAATACATTTTATTAAAAAGCAAAAGTAGTTTTCACCAAAGTAGTAAAAACAAGAGTAGGCAGTGGAACATTTCGTTCGATGTCTGGCATATCGATCTGTTAACAATGCACCACATGATTTAAAATTTAAAAAATTATTTTGAATAACAACTTAAGGAGTATTTTTTATTGTTCAATATCACTCACTTGAAAAAATTAAGACGACCTCCCTTCTCAGCAATATTTATCATTTCTTGGAATCCACCGACGTCGATCGATCCCTTGATGATTACAGATAATAAAGCAAAGAACATAAGAACAGACTGAAACACGTCAGTCCACAGGACAGCTTTCATACCACCCTGTACGGGAAAAATCAACATAATGACAAGAAATAATTTTTGTATAATCTAATAATCATAAAATTTCCTTCACTCGAAATGTACGCATTGAAATAAACTTATAGAGCTATTTTTATTCAACTGTAACGAAACCTAACATTTTACATTATTTCAGTAACTCAAAGCAACTTTTTTAAACAGTGTCACTTCTTAAAAGAGTGATACACAGCTTTTAATGTGCATTACTCACCCATACGTAAATATGTCTCGAAGAACATTATAAGTGTATTCTTCAATAATTCATTAATTATTATACATTATCCAAAGGATATGACAAAATAACTTCGAAAACTGTGTGACTAGAGTAAATGACAATCAAACCGCAGGATGTAGTTAGAAAGTGATAATACCAGTAAATTTCATTCGGTTTACTACGTTATTAAGATCTCTAAATCTCTGTTTATTTAATTTTTGTAATGAATAAAATTTATGCATCCAGTGAAAGCGGGAACTAGAAATTTTAGCTAACTACACACGTTGGAAGTTCTTTATACCAAAGGTGTTTGTTTTGGGAAGAAATTTACTTGGAGGCATTTTATGTAAATTTCATCTGCATACACGTTACGGGTAAGTGGATCTTCCTTATTATTATGGCTCCCGTTATTTAAATGGCGCAAAAGACCTCTTTGGTGAAATGCGTCAAATATTGGTCAAAGATTTGCATACTTTGAATTTTTCTGAAGTAGCGGCAACCAGCACAAGTATAAAAATTAGTAATTCTAGTTGTAAGACCGCAGAACAGTAATAGAAGGTAAGCAAGTAGCCTACGAGCAAGAGAGAGTCCAAGCACGGCCCTGAGCGGTAAGTGGCCGAGTAACGCCAATTCCAAAGAGCGCAGTGGCAATTACGAGTGTTCAAAAGAAAGTTAAAGTTTCGACAGAGAGACGGCCAACTCCACCTAAGATATTAGTCTCTTTTGTTCAGTTTCTTACGTTATGTTTCATTAAGAGCCAATTTAATTTCAGGAAATAAAAACATGTTTAACTCAAGTTGCTGTATCTTCTATAAATCTGCAGATTCGAATAAAACAATAAAAATTTTTCCGTTCGGGGGAGAAAGAACTACAGCTATAGGATAAGTTAAGTTTAATGCCGAAGTTCCAGTAAGTGGTTTATTCCAAAGCCGCAATTTAGAAGAAAGCTCTTCACAAACATTCACCAAAGAGGCGGGCAGTTCTAACCACAGAAACTTACAGTCCGCCGGTCACAAGAAATCCGAGTAGGATTGCCGTTTTGGCATACTACATTAACAAAGCGCCAGGAAGTACCTAAAAATACATGCAAACCATTATCGCGGGAATGAAATTCTGGAAGAAACTGCCACCAAGGCGTGATCTTATCCCCTCTGTCATTGATGGGCTCTTTGAATGTAAATATTTATGGGTTAAATGGCGGCTTAAAGGAAAAAAAAAATACTAACTATAGTTTAATATTTGTGCTCAAGCACGGCTAAACCTTTGAAACTTCTATAGCACCTTACTGTAACGTGAATGAAAAGTTTTAAGACTGATTATTTTGTTCAAAATAATATGAATCTTGCTCCCTCTACATTTTTTTAACAAAGCAGTCTTCAAGACTGAATTACTTTTTTAATGTGCTTTTATATGAATGATTTTTAAGAAAAATTACATTTTGTGATATTAATTTTAGCACTGCGGATATCTTACATTTCGTCATCCGAAGAGAGCTTTTTTATGAGAAGTTCCTTGTACTTCCTAGTATTGAGAATGCTCCGAAATCAATCAGTGCTAAATCTAGGCTACGTGTTGTTCCATTGGTTTATAAAGGGCTCCGAATGGCACAGCAGCAACAAACGGCCGGATATTTCAGAACATTTCTGCTTCTTGAGTAAATCTTTGCTTTAATTCTTCACGTTTTCACTAATATTTGCTGCTTCACGAATGAAGCTGCTGTGAATGTCCTGCCATAACATACTTTGTCTATTTCAAGTATGTTACCTTAAAAATACATGCACTAAGAAAATATTGCAGCACGGCTGCTTCCTCGCCATATATATGCCACAACATTTTAAGTATTCTAGTATTGCTCTTCCCAAGAACAAAATGTTTAACTTAAAACTCAATTCACACTTTTGATGTAGTTTTACAGAATACCTTTTCCATATATTACGGCACAATATAGTACTGTTACTTTAAAACGGACACTTAGAGATCGTGACTATCTCCCCCTCCTGTGTCTATTTCAAGACACAGGAGTCCTGTGTCGTCGTCATCACACAGAGGATAAGGGAATTTTGCAGATTTGCAGCAGTAGTTATCATGGTTATGAGGCAAGCCAAAACGGAAGAAATGGCCCTGAAGTGTTTGAATGCTTTCACTCATTGTAACCAAATGCAGAGGGCTTTCTAATTGTAGGTTCAGTCACACTGATGTATAACTATCTACAACTTAGTAAAATGTTTGACCATGTCTTGACATAGTCTTGAAACATTTTAGTTAGCTTTTGAGTTTCATAAGGTACATTAAAATTAATAATCAAAGAAGAAATCTGTTGGAAAGCTATTAACAAAAGTTCTGCATTAAGCTACATTTCCAAACTGTTAAATTGCACTGGCAATAATATAACGCAGATTTCCCTTGGGTATTTGCATAATCAATGCTCTGAAAAATTATTAGTTTATCGCTTTTTAGCTAGTTCTTACACTAAAAATTATGCCAATTTACCAATTTAACTATAGAGAATAAACAAGTACTTACCAATGTACAATAAAAAGCACACACTATCCCTACAGAGAGAATGGAAACTAAATGAGAGAGACCACTTACAGCACTTAGAGCGATAGATGGCGAATACAGACCCACTGACATAAATAAAACCTAGAACAAGAAAGAAAACTTCAGTTTCCATTGCACCTTTTCAAAGATACCAATGCTCTCCTATTAATAAATACAGTTTAGCATCCATGTAATATAATTATGTAGTAAATGCATATATATATATAATGATAGCACTCATTCATGACTCACTCACTGACTAATGACTTAATATTTATGATAGAGATAGGTTCTTGATAGATACACAAAAGTAAAGTTACTACTGTTCCGTGCGTACGGGTTCGTAATAGATTGACTGAAAACAAAACCGACGAAAGCTTGATAATTTTTTTTCTCAAAAAGAAACTCTTTACAGTTCTAGAACTTTCCACAAAAGCACTCGTACAGCGCTTCTCAGTATCAGTAATTAAACATCAAACTACTAAGAACGTTAAACAAAATGTAGACAATAGAATATGACTGTACAGGAAAAATATGAACAGGAAATTTTGCTTATAGAAATACCTAAATATCAAGTTGTAGTTTTAGCTGTATAACATTTGAAAACTATAAAGTAGAACACAGCCCCCAAAAAAGTGCATGAACTAAACACAATATCCGTGCTTACCATTTGAATGACAAACAATCCAGATATAATAGTTCTAGTTATCCGGCCAAATCGTCTTTCAAGGTACTGGAAAGGAAAAAAAAAACTGTAAATTAGATGTACAAGATACGCCAAATTAAGTTAAACGAATAACATTAAGACGGAAAATCAATATTCACATAATAATATTCACTAATAAATAATAATACTCACTATCCAATATTTATCTGGCTAATAATAAATAACTCAAAACATTTGAAGGAATTTTATAATAACTAGTTCAGAAACATTTGAAGGAACTTTACCATAAATGACTCAGAAATATTTGAAGGAATTGTATCTAATTAACAGAATATATATAGTGCAATTCACAAAAAATACCTGAAGAGTTTTAGCTTGTTAAATTATCAATATAATGTCAAAAAGTTTACATTTTTACAGTATTAAAATCATAGTTTTGCTCTAACACTATAGCTTCCTTGAAAGAACTTAAGAATTATTTTAAAATAATCAACGAATTTCTGTTTTACGCCTTCATTCATAGTAAAATACTTAAAATATTTTGAAAACACAAGGAAACAAGGTATATGAGGGCCGAATTACAGTTCTAGCTAATATAGTGATAAATTACAGTTGTTCCATTACAATACCTATTACAGTGATACAGGGGCTGGACCAAAATATCGCCAAATGGTCGTCATGTTTGGCGACTTCTGGTAATTTCTCACCAAATTTCGCGACAAAAATTAGTCGCCAAAACCGCTACTCGCTTGGCCATATCTCGCAAAATTAGCGAGATAGTTATTTACTCAATGCTAAATAGTGTTGCACCTGTATTCTTATTTTTCCGGCAGAGCATCTTCTTTCTCAGGTTTTTATGCTACATTATACAAAAAATTACACAATTTCACATGTAATAGAAGAAGAAAATCTATCATATGTTTCAAGAGTCATCACTGTAGTTTATACACATTAAAAAGGCAATTCAAGCGATCCTAAATTGCTGGCCATCCAAAATGCAACACCATGAAAGAAGCATCTAAACAGGATGAAATTTGCATTATGTGTGTATACCGCGGTAGACTATGCAAAAGATTATGATTTCAGCGCACACGTACATCATGGACGATTGCAGGGCTTCTTACAATCCATATATAAAAGGAGAAAGGGTTGCCATTTTAAATAATGTGAATTGTTGTTCTCTCGTGAGGCTTTTTGTGTGTGCAGCTTCAATATGACTCCTGAAAAGCATGAGCACCATTCGAGAAAGTTTCTGAGTTTGACCGAAGCAGAATCTTTGCATACAGAAATTGCGGATTGTCCTTATGGGAAATCGGTCATCGTGTCGGACGTAGGCAAGCAGCAGTCATACGAATAGGGAATCTGGGAGAACAGGAGGGAAAGACTGACGGACAAGAGTAATTGCAACCTCCTTGTCGTACCACTCCACGGAAAAACAGGCATATTGTACGTATGGCAGTGATGCAGAACACTACCGCATCCGCACCCATATCACAACGAATGCAGGCTGTAAGCTAACCATCCGTGTGTGCACGAGCAATTCGACGTCATTTTACAGGACAATGGACTGTCCGCTAGGCGTCAATTGCTTCGCTTACCATTAACTTTAGATCACAGGCGATTGAAATGGTGCACGTAACGGCGCAGATGGACATCCGAATGACATAACTGTTTTCGAATGAATCACGCTGCAGTACCACGATGGTCAAATTAAAGTTTGGACAGACCGTGTAGAGTGGCTGCTCGACTGTTGCTTATACATCCTCATACTGGTCCTGTACCCTGTGTTACGGTGTGGGGAGGGTAGTATTGAACTCCACTTTCGCATCCCCTGGTACCTATTATCGATCACTTACAAGCCACCGTTATATCTCTGAGGTTTTGCAGCCTGTTCCCTTTCCTTTTTTTCAGGGCTTGTCTGGGGCCACATTTCAAAGAATACTGTGCAACAAGACGTTGCACGTAATATTCTAATATTAATTTCTTCATATCTCGTTATATGCGCTATTATATAAGCTTTCTTCAAAGCTCGTTATATGCACTGTTATCCTGATCTGATCGTTTCTAGAGCTATCGCGCATCAAACATGCCTGGTCAATGACTGGAGAATGCTCAGCTCGACATGCCACACCCGCGGGTACACCAGATGAACTTTGCATTCTTTTTTGAACTTTGCGGCGTATAGCAGAGGTTATTGACAAATGTGAAGACAACACTCATTACCAATTTTCTCCTCTTCCTCATCTGAAAGAAGTCTGTATTTCAAATGAATTAGCATTGAACTACGTTTAATCTCTGAAATAAATTTGTCTTTGATACCTCTTGTCCTTCTTCGTATTGCATTTTGGATGGCTAGCAGTGAATTTGACATCTTTCCTTTTAAGCCAATAATATTTCAAATTTACCTACAGTCATCATTATAAACTTGCGAGCAAAAATTAAGAACGAGGTGAAGAAATTAGCACAGAAGTGAAAAAGGCCACAAAACGGACCGAAGACTAATCAGGGCTTAATAATGACTAATCAGAACTTAAATGTATTGGGACCGATATAGCAGGGCGTACGCATATATAGCACATGATGTAGAGTTGCTATTCCCCTGTGATTTGTCCAACACGCAATCAAGGAGACATGATATGGATGAATTTACCAGACACCATGCCAATAGGAAATTAGAAAAAATATATGTCACAAGTATGGTGGAGGGGTTCAGGATCACTCACAGCATCGTTTCGCAAGCCTAGGCATCATTTCACACGGCAGGAACAGCTGTTCGAGCGCTCAGCAAAGATCGTCCACGAGCAACAATGACAGTGGACGACCGGTGCATTGTCCTACTGGCGACAAGAAACATGCAATAAGACTATTGGACGTCCAATATCATGTATTACCGTGGCCAAGAGGCTGCACAAATGTGATGTATATGCCCGACGACCAGTACGGTTAAGGCTTAGCTCATCGGAGATGCCTAACACTGTAGTATCTGAAACATAAGAACTGGACACACTAGGAGTGGGGTCAAGTGTTCTTTATAAATTAGTAACGATATAGCCCAAATCAAGTCTGGACATCCTCCAGGATCACTGACAAACTTCGTCTTGGAGTTATCGCTTGGGTCTGGTATCATGCTTGGTATTCCATATCTGACTTGACCTTCACATCTTCCAAGTTCGTTCAGCCACTGATGTCTGCTGTTGTACTAACATTCGTTTGCCTCATAGACATCTATTTAGAGTTGGTGTTTGTCCGGACTTCTTTTTATGGACGGAAATGCTACACATCATCGCACAGAAGCTGTCGCAGAGCTCTTTAACAGTGAACATATTCAACGAATTGATTAGCCTGCTAGGTCTCCGTACTTAAGTCCCATAAAACATGTATGAGACCTTTTCAGAAGACGATTGGCAACATGTGACCATTCGCCAGTAACGATTCCGCAGTTGAAATTGGCGTTACTAGAGAAATGGGTCACGATGCTTCAACAGCTCCTTGACACCCTGTCCTCAGAATGGACAGATGCTGTAATTTCTGCATCGCATTCACGACTAACAACTTTCTAAAGATTGGATTTTTCTTGCCAGGCGCCTGTCGTATGGACGTTTCTGTCTTTTCTCCAACTGTGCTCGGAGCTACCTTTTGAATAAAGTGCCTTTCTATCCTTTTTATTCCTTGTTTGGATGGTTTTGCTCATTTATCCCATATTTTCACATTTTGGGAAACTTATGGTATGGCATGCGTCGATGTGGAACACTTCTGACTGACGTTACATTCAGCAAAACCATTTCGTGTTTAAATTTTGCACACCACCGTACTATTATACGCCGGCAATTATGATAATTACTTTTATAATAATTTTGTTAATAAATGGTAATCACTGAGATTACTAAATATTGTGCGTCTTAAGTTCGTTAATTTTCCGAGGTGATCTTGCTTGAGTTCATGTTTATGTCAAGACTAGACGTAACACTTTTAGAACACAAACATACACACCAGATTTCCTAAGCTTCTCTCATTAGTACTAGGTTGATAAGATATTTGAGCATTGGTAACTCGTTCTGGGTTTACTTCCAGGCAAATGGACTAGCCGCATATTACTTTCATAATTTTCTCCATATATCACGTAAGCATGACGCAATTTACCTAGAAAATCTTCCACAAAAGCACCTTTACTGAAGTAAAATGCTCTTGTACACACTTTGCTATGATTTATTAACCAACCACCTTTTAAAAAAATAATAACAGCGTACAGATAAATCAATAGAGAGCAGACGAATTTATAAAATTTAGAATATTTGTAGAAAAAATTAACATTGCCAAAGACACTAGGGAATTACTGTTTTTACCAGATGCTTTTACGTAGTTATAGCTGCACGAAGCTGTAAAAATGTAATATCACTTTAATGGCAATTACTGACTTGCAGCTAATGCAAGGATACTAATAGCGCCATCTATGTATGCAAAAGTACGAAACACTTTACGCAAAAATAAAGCTTTGTTTAGTTTATATAATAATGTGAACACTACACTATTCGGGCATCGTTATGAAAGTTTTCGCCTTGACCACAGCTGAACTTTCGATTGGATTATAGCCATCTGCAGAAAATCTACCACTCACTGAGAAATGACCATCAATACGACGAAAACAAATAAGTTACGCAATACAGTAATGTCGTCCTCATCTAAATAACAGTCTTCCTACATAACCAGAAGTGTTTACCTAAAATGTTTCTATATGCAAATCATCTGTAGCTTTATTTGTATCTAATGAAACTGAATAAAATTTGGAGTCTATATTAATTTACAGGAGAGGAAAAGATTTGTCGCGGCAGTGTTTAGATAAAACGTTTCAGAATTTACAGATAAATAGTGCTCTTAACATTTTTAGCAAAGAACATTATTTGATGGTTCTTCATCTCGAAATATTTTATCAGGTAATATAGCTCATTTTTATCTGAGCAGAAACAATATGTTTTAGTTAAAGGACATTGATTTAACTGAATAGGGGCAATGTTTTAGTTAAAGGCCATGCTGGTTATTTTCATCATTCTACATCTACAAAAATAGAA